GTACGGCATTCAGCTAACGACTGTTAGGCGCGCATACTTCGGTTGCAAATAGCGGTAAAGCAAAGTGAAACAATGCGCACAAAGCCAAACGCGCGGCAACAACCGTTTGCGCCGCATGCGTAGCAACACACAAACAGCTAGTTGCGCTGCTATGCTGTGCCCATTGCAAATACAACACCACGCAGCATATTGGCGTGACTTTGGCGTTTGTTGCACTTTTGTAGTTTCACGGCGCTTTTTTGCTTTTACCGCATTTTTGCGCCAAACCAGCACTGTTGCATGCCTTACGTTTGTTTGCCTTGTGACCCTTGTGTGTTGCGGCTTGTGTTCGTTGTTTTAGAGTGCAAGCTGAGGTTAGCGCCGCTTGTGTGGCGCTTCACCCCAGTAACTCAGCTGAAGCTTTTGATTTTCGCTTTTGTCGGTTTCTTTTGGCTGGCAAGCGCCAAACCTGTTTAAGAGGCATATTTAGAGCAAAGCGTGATTAGAATTTCGCGGCGGCGGATATTGTGAATTTAACTGAAACAATGAACTTAGATTGAAAAGCTACGTTTTTAGGTGTGGTTTTCAGTGGTTCTAGTTCCAGTTATCTTGTGTTGTTGTTGTGTAAGAAAAGCTTAGTTTTCTGTAATTTCTTACAAAATCTCAGAGAAGACCAATCTGTCATTATCTATCTATGAAAGGAGCCTTCTATTGGGTTGTTCACTAAGTAATTTCGTTTGTTGACAACAGCTGAGCTTATTGCATTTTTTCGCAGCCAACTTCACTTGCTTGTGAAAATTTTTTAAAAGAGGAGGCCAGAATTGCTCAATAGAAAAGGTGTAGTGTTCCACCAGGATAATACGAGACCTCGTACAAGTTTGCTGACGCGCCAAAAGCTTTTGCAGCTTGAATATTTCAATATCTTTGGAGTGTATATGGTATGTGTATGTAAGTACAGATATATTCGCTTCTGATGTCATAAATTGTGTCAGCTCTTCTAGGAAGGTTGCCCCATGAAAGTTAAGTTGTATGATAAATGTTTATTACCCACTGGGTGCGTACGCATTTTCCACGTACTGTAAGGCTATGAATGTAAAGATAAATAGACGCTTGGCGCACATATAAGGGCTCACCTTTCTTGCGATTAGTTACTCACATAAGATTGATATGAAAGCTCACTTGCAAATAAGATTACGATAACAGCAATAATGGTATAGTTATATCACAACCTGTAATATCACAATGCTGAGGCGTGTGCGTAAAACAGCTTAACTAAAAATGCCAATCAGCTGTAAATGAAAGAAACTCTCTGTAGACAGTGTGAAACTATTTGTAATTACTGCACTATCTGCGCGCTATAATAATTCAATCAACTTGCATGCAACACGCGTCCGATACCGACTGCCTGACTGTAGAATATGCTTGGCAACCTATACACATATATATACAAACGCGAAATGCAGTGACAACACGCGCACAGCACTACTTGTAGCTATGCCTGCTGCTGCCGCGCACCAACTCGCTTCCACCATACACCATAACCAGCAGCGCCCATGAAAGCCAAGCTGCTATGCGCATCCGCGGCGACGTGTGCACGCTCATGCACGCGCAACGCGGCGTTAATCTTTGCTGTAATCAGCGCTGTATTGCATATGTAATAGCAGCGATAGTGCGCGAATGCGACGGCGGTGATTTATGTGCATATTGCACGCGCTTGCGGCAAAAATGATTGCGCGCTTTGTAATTTGGTTTTTGCTGCGCTCAATCAACACAAAAACAAAATGTTTAATAGCAATAATCAAGCAGCGACAGATATTAGACGCAAATTGCCACAAACAACGCTGCCAATTAACACAACAACAACATTAGCATTAGTGGCAAGTGCGCGCGAGTGCAAACTGCAACGCTGCATGCCACTTTTAGCTGGCGCGCCGCGCAAGCTGTTGCCATTTAATTAATTAACATAAATTATGCTACAAATTACAAGCATTGTTGTTGTTGCAGTTTTATATAGCAATGCTTAGTGCTGACATTAAATAACCGAATTAATAAATTCACGCCATTTAAGCGAAATGACGGTGTTGCACAGACAACGCGGCAGCCGCGCTTAACGTACGCGAAATGCGACTGCAGTGGACACTGTGGCATGCAATTTGCTGCAGCAACATCACAAAGTAGCCACATGATATGTGTCGTATGTATGTGTGTGTTTGTTGTGAATTACCGTCAATTACGCGCTTGCTGCAAAGCTGACTGTGCGGTTAGCCGACCGCTGTCCAGCCACTTACAGCAATGTTGCATAAACAAAGTTTTATGTTTGCAAGTGTTGCAAGTAGTTATAAAGCGCAGCGCTTAAGTGCGTTGGAAAACTGTGATTTGCCGTAATTAACAGTAAGTGGGAAGCGAGCACTTTTCGAGTTCATTAATAATGCGGACAACTTAATTTAATGGTCAATTTTGACCAACAGCGGCGGCAATGGCTGCACATGTGCTTGCATGGCACAGCATGTGGCAAGTAAGCGCGGAAAAACGACTACGCCGCTGAAGTGTGTTATGGCAGCAAGAAGCAGCAGTGGCAGAGTTAATGTGCGCTGAGACGCGAACACGCGGAAACTGAAGTGGAAGTAGTCTGAAGTGCTGGCGAAAGGCTGGGAAATGAAGAGCTGCATGCAGAAAGCTGCATATGTGTGGCTAAGCGATGACTAGTTTGAGCGAAAGATGTTTAAAGTTATTTAAGCGCTGTTAATTTTACAACACACATATTTTCAAATTAAAGCGAAACGTATATGACAACATATAATCGAACAGCCGCAATCTTCTAAGTTTTTAGTTTTAAAAATAAAAAGCCATCATGTTGTTGCAGCAAATATAATTTGAGTGCATAGTTCGCATGCCTGCAAAGTGGTATTCACATTCCACACTCCACACAGTGCAACATTTTTCACACCTCAAATGACTCAATATGCAACGCCTACTTCCCCTTCACCCTGCCAACGAGTAATAGCCATTTGATGGCCATAAAAATGTCTTTTATCAGCTCAACGCTGTGCAGCTACAATTTGTGATTGCGTTGCCACAATAAAAATCAAACGACAGATGAGTCAATCACGGCGGACCACCGGCGTGGACTTGCCGCAGCGAAGGTGGTGTGCTGCAGGCATGACATATACATAGTTGCGTGCAACGCAAGCTTTTACCACCAACTTGCCACTTGCAAAGACAAGCATACAAATGCTGTAACGGTAATGTTCAAGTTGTGCAATGCCACACAACTTGCACGCGTGTCGCGCACTTGTGCTGAGTTCAGTTTTTCATTGCGCGCACTGCGCGGCATGTTCGTTAACGAATTTCTGCTATGTGCAACAAATTTGTGGCATTGCTGTTTGTGTACTGTGCTTTTTTGCACACGATTTTTATTTTGTACTTTCGTTCAACGAAACTGAGTGCCGCATGAAGGGACAGTTATAATATAAGGTAATAAAGGTGTGAAGAACTGCAAGCACATGCACAGCAGCGTTCATAAAATTAGACACGAAACGCATAACTGTCAGATCGAGGCGCATAATAGCGGGAGACAAAGAGACAGGCTTATAAGGAGAGCAAATGCGCTTTTGGAGACCTAAGACCGCAGTCTAAGCGGCAGTAACAAGCGGTTAGTGAAAACTACGGCACATGTGCTGGAAACGCCAAGCAATCATCTGCTTCAGCGCAAGCTGTTAAGTTATTGTAGAACATGTTCGATTGGCTAGGCTTCCATTGACGATTAGCGTTGCAAGCAATTGTATGAAAAAAAAAATATATATAAAAATGCTAAATCAATTATTTGTACAGCTTAATTTAAAATCCGCCCCATAAGGTATGCTACGCCAAAATCGGCGCTCAAGTTTGTTTCTGGCGCGCTCTCACGTCACTTATAATTACACTATTTGCTGCACATGCGCAATTTCGTACTAATTATGCATTAGTTGCCAGTGGCTGTGGCCGTCAGCACGCATGCGCACTTGCGACATGCCACAAATGAACTCTACACGCACGCTAGCGCGCTGTTGGGCAATTACCGCACCAAAATATGGCTGCCACCAAATCCAATTGAAAAGTGTCGCACGAATTTCAAAGCATTTTTCGGCGCGTTCAGCAATTTCGGCACAACAGTTTTGCGCATAAATTAGCGTGAAAGAAAAAACGCCGCCAACGCCAACTTGCCACACAGCTCTGCTGGCTGTGGCGACTACAATTGCGCCGTTCACGCGGCGCAGCAACCAAATATGGCAGACAATGGCCTCATAACTCGCACTGCAACTTGCCACATGCCAACAACAAAACACAATTTGTGTCTAACTGCGGAAAATGTATGCGCACTGCAACGGCATACGCCAGCGCTGCACATGCTGCTGGCTGCAGCGGCAGCGTCGCTATTACCAATTTCATTTGCTGTTTTCAATTTGAATTTCTGTTTGGCCAATCAATGTGTTTCGATTTGGTGCAGTGCGCCTTATTTTGTGCTGTTGTTCTTGTTGCCGCTGCTGTCGGCAGCCTTTTTTGGAAAAGTGCAATTTAATTTGCATTGCATTGCCGCGGCGTGCAGCCAGTGCAAATGCGCTTTAGTTAGTTTTGTTAGCTTGTTGCTAAGTAATGGCTTGCGTTGGTTGTTGCCGTTGTCATTGTTGTTGTTGTTGCTGGTCGTGTTATTATTTTTATGTTCGCTTTCCGTTTACATCCACTTAATTTGTGTGTGGATGCCAGCATAGTTGCTGTTGCGATTGCGATCGCATTTCGAAATTTGTGGCATGTGTTGTACTTGTGAAAGCGTCCAATGGCCGCGTACAACGTCCGGTCTTCGTTCGGCGGAGCGCAGGTCGGGCGGAAGGCAACGCGCTCGAATGTCTTAGAAAGGAGGGAAATGGCGTGTAAGGGGTGTGAATTCGTGCGCGTTGCAATAACAGAAAATTTTCATAAATATCAAATGCCACAAATTTAATGTGAATTTCGCCTAACAATTTTCTTCTCTTTTTCATTTGCAGTTCGTACGATTCGAACAGCCGGTTGTTAAGCTTAGCCAAAAGGTGAGTGGAGTCAACAAAATTAATTGACCTACATTCTTCCCACAAAATAGCGAGAAATAACTGGAGCTATCTGTGGCAGTTGCATATGAACGACTGTGTTTAAGAAATACAGTAAAATACAGCACGATGACAGCTTAAAGGGGTTTGTAGACCGCAGCAATACAGTTGCAACCCAATCTAGAGATGCGTCAGAAACAGAGTGCTATGATTTTAACCAACTTTATCCTACTAGCTGTGTGACTAACTATTCATATTTGTTGCAACTATACAAAACTATTCCCAAAATCCGCTACTTGCGGAAATCATTTATTTTCATAACGACCGCTTTTCAATAAACAGCCTCAAAACGCTTTGTCACTCACATGCATGGACCGAATGCGGGCATAGATGCATACACACATATTTTTTTATTTTGGTTTCTTGTATTTTTAGCGACCAAAAGTGGGTTGCATTAAATTGCTAAAAGCACTAGAAAAACGCCGAAACGCTGAGAAACAATATTTGCAGCTTGCAGGCGGCCTAAAATATAGAAATCATAAGACGAAAATCAAAAATAGAAAATGCTGAACGCAAACGAAAAATATGTGGAGCAATGAGTCCACGCATTGTGCATTTTAGTGCGCCATAGGCGGCAAATAGAAAACAACACACACAAACACACCAACATCCTGCTATATATGTAGGAGTGTATGTAAATGGCAAAAGCGTTCGGTCGCCGCTGTTGGCGTTGGCGGCGGAAGGTGTTGTCAGCCAGCCATCCAGCTGTTCGTCAATTTGGTGGCACGCCATGGCTGCGGCCGCCATTTAAGGGCTGTCAGCTGCCAAAAGCACGCACACACGCGCACAAATATTTGTATATATTTATAAAATGCTTTGTAGGCGACTGCCGCGCAAGTAATGGTGCTGTGGGTGAAGGCGCAACAAAGAGTTGCATGCATTTCAATGCGCTAAGCACCATAAACAGTCGGTTTTAGAAAAAAAAACACAAAACAGCGAAAAATTGGTAAAAATGGCAGGCACCTGTGTCTGCAAGTGGCGCGCTCACAACAAAATATCGTTTTCTAAAAGAAAGCAAGAAAATTAGTTGGTGTTATGTTAATGCCGGTGAAAGGCAGTCGACAGCGTATTGGTCACACTTTAAGCGCGCTAGCTGCAGTTGCACTTCCGGCAATTCGCTCTGATACCGAAATGAAATTATTGCCAAAAAATGTTTTGGTATGTATATAGCTAGCATGAACGCAGCTGAAATTCAATTTAAAAAATAAAAAAAATAAAATTAAAAAAAACATAATAAAAAACTAAAAAATAAAACAAATATAAAAAACAAAATTTAAGAACAAAATTTAAAAAAATATCGAAAAAAATATTAAATACAAATTTAAAAGAATAATTAAAAAAATAAATAAATAGAAAACAACATATAAAAAACACAATAAAAAATAAATAAAAAGCTGAATAAAAAACAAAATATAAAAAACAAATTTAAAAATAATAATTTAAAAAATAAAAAATAAAAAAATATAAAAGACAAAATATAAAACAAATATATATGCATATACAAAAAAATAATAATATACATAAAAATATAAAAAAAAAAAATATATATACATATATAAAAACAAAATATAAAATAAAATAAAAAAAAAACAAATTTAAAAAATTGATTCAAAAAAATTCAAAAATATAAAAAACAAAATAAAAGAACAATATAAAAAAAAATATATATAAAAAACAAAACATAAGAACAAAATATAAAAAAGAATTTAAAAAAATATAAAAAACAGTTTAAAATAATAATTTAAAAAAATTTATAAAAATATAAAAACAAAATATAAAAAAAATAAAAAAACAAAATATAAAAAAAATAAAAAATTTAAAAAAATATTTAAAAAAAATTAAAAAAATTAAAAAAAAAATGTTTAAAAAATTGAAGAAAAAATTAAAAAAACATTTAGCGTTAACTTTGGTTGCACCGAAGCTATAAAACCTTTCACCAATACAAAGGTGCCGTACAAGAACATTTGCATATAAATAACCAAAGCACATTTCGTGCTTATGCCGCCGCCAAAATTATAGAAAAATCGGTTACAAATAGCAACAACGATCACGAAAAGGCACTGCGAGCCCTTCATTTTACTCACTGCCGTGCATAGAAAATAATAAAATGTTTGAAATAATAATTTTACGTTTTGATAACTTTACAACTTTTACACTTTCTGCGCACACGCACAACCTGCGCGCTTATTTTTATAGATGCTTTATCAATTTAATGTTTTCATTTTAAAAATTTAGTGCTGACAATTTTACGATTCAATATGCAATTCAACACTGACCACTATTTGTTGTTGTTGTAGTTGATTTTTATGCACCAAATTTTATTAATGCCTTTTCACCTGTAATTTATTAGACGCATCCGTCGCTTGCAGGCACGCTCGTAAACTTCGTGCGTCAATTTCAATCAATGCTTTTGTTTACAACTTAATTTGCTGCATTTTATTGTGGATAATCTTTCGAAAAACATTTTTGATTTGAAAAATTTACATTCACTCTATGTAAATGTGTGGTTTCGTTGTGCTGTAATTGCTGACCATAAATGTGAATTTGCCGGTTTAGAGCGGTGTGTGTGTGTGTGTGTGCGTAAAGCGTGGGTAAGCCGCTGTTAATTAATGCATTGCGCTTAGACAAATTGTAATTAATATAGCAATAATTTATGTGGCTTATGGGCATGAAAGCCATTTCCGGGCAAAAGTTTTGGTTTTAAAATTTATGATTTCGGTTTACAAAATGTTCGAAATATTTATTTAACAACAAAACGTTAGGAAATGTTTGAGGAGCCCAATCTTTAGCTACACCAGAATGGAAACTGTCTACGAAGCATTACAGCATGCTAACACAGGGTGACGCAGAAATTTCACATAAAAAGTGCACGCAAGAGCAAGCTAATGAAGTTTAGTCTGGTGTATATAGGCACAGAACCAAAGAGCAATATTTCTAACAGTTATAGTCGTACTATTACTAAATAGACTTGAGAAACGAGGCACAGATAATTGTATTTGAGCAGCAGGGTGACATATTAAAATTGCTGTAGAAAATAAAATGAAAATCTCCTCTCTTAGATGAAATGACGTAGAAATTGATGTAACGAACTAAATTGTAAAGGTTTAAGCAGTCGTCTACAGTCTAAGCAGTCTAGAGATGCAATAAAACACTAACAAAAATCACTTCGTAAAGCTTTACAGCATTTCGATTTAAACACAGGGTGACCACAGACACAAGTTTTTAAAAAAATCTTGTCTAGGTCATAAACCAAATTCACCGCTTCTCGAACTGCTAACTGAACGATGTGGGCGTATAATTTTTTCTGACTGCTTTCTCAAGAAATGAAATTCCAAAACAATTCTACGTCAAAACCAAAAAAAAACAAAACAGAATTTCAGCTACATAAATTTTCTCAAGCAATTAAATTCTATTAAGGCAAGCTAACAAAGTTGTGGGCGTGTGAGAACAGTAGTTTTGACAATTAGCTACAACCACAATAGCAGCCACATTTAGGTGAACAACTGTTACCACGCAAAGCGCTTTAATGAAGTTCTAAGCTTGCTGCCCGGCTTTCTAGATTTGTGCTACACGCGGCTGCCCACACAAAAATGCAATGCCGCAAAGCTAATAGAAATTTCCAAATTTGTTGCTCTTAATTTAAAGTTACGCAGCAAGCAGAGAGTGTTGCGCTGAGCGCGTAAAGAACATTGTGCTAAAGAAATGCTTGCATCTTGCACGCTTGCTGCATTATCGTGCTACATATATGTTTTATAGTTTCTATCTCCAAGGAATTAGAAAATTAACAGCAAAGCTCGCCCACTCGGCTGCTGGCGTGAAACACATTAGCCACTAAATAGCTGCAACATTGTACGCGCTTATGTTGCAGCAAAGAATTTTGATTAAAATCAGCGCGGTTGCAAGCAGACGTCGGCGCTGCGTTGCCGCAGGTGAATTATTTTACAGTCGATTGTGTTAGTGGCCAACAAACTCTTGAAACAGTTGACTGCCTGCGCGCATCTACGCGCTGTCGCTGTCCGCCGTCAGCCCACAGCCGTCACACGCGGTGACAGCGGCTCAGCCTGCGGCGCGTTGTTGTTCAATACCTAACTGTCATTTGAATAGCATTAGTTCAAGTTAATTGGAAAGCATTTAAGACTGTCAGTGGCGACAGCGACTAGCGCGTAGGTACAGGTAGCTCAGCGCAGACGTCAATGAACAGCTAAAACCCAGCGGCCATAAAGCAACTATTTAAGTAGCGGCTGCTGGGTGCGTCAAACCTGTTGCTCATAACAGTTGTGTGTGTGTGTGTATGTGTGAGAGTAAGATGTTGTCACTAAAACGCTACTTGGTTTGTCTAGCGCCGTAAATTGTTGAGGATTCTTTAAGAGGTGTTGAAATGAAGACATCGCAAGACTTGCGGCGCGCGCAGGTTGCCAAGCGTTGGCATTATTGCTTTACAATTTACATAAAACTAAAAAAATAAACTAAAATAATTGAATTGAGTTGGCTTTAGTGGACATTAGCTGGACAAAAGCGCTTTTTACAAGTCATTAACGAGCACACAAAACCAGCCAGGCAATATCGAGCGTTTAGCAAGCGAACGCGGCATTATAAGCTATGTCGTTTGACGCATAAATTGTGCGGTTTATAGTACCAAGCAAGCAAATAAATTAAACCAAAATAGTACGCGTTGTAGCTCGCTTGCCAGCACGCCACACGGCAAGTGTCGCGTTTCATTCATGATTTCAACAAGTCAAAAAGCTTGAATTTCCACAACGCTGCAGCACGCTTTGGGTGCATGCCACTTCTCGGGGTCTCATTCACCATACGAAGTTGCGCTCATCGTGTCTGTTTATATTATGTATGCATATTTAACCGTAAATGCCAGCTTCTTCAATGAAGTACGCTAGCCGACATTACTAAACTCCAGCGCACAGGCTTACATATGTAAATTGCCGCCT